CCCTACCAATGACCTAACAATACCCTACCAATGACCTAACAATACCCTAACAAAGACACTGATTTTGGGGTCATATTATAACTTAATAATTTAGATTACCATAAAAACACAAGAAACAAACCTTTCTTGTTTAATATACTGAAATCCATAATCTTCATCATCTACACAGCTCTGAAGACCTTTCTCTGTGACCTTGCCAGCAAACATTTCAAATTTCTTCTGATTTGGCAACCACTCTTTTAGAGGCTCTTTAATCATCTGGCAAAGCTCTGACAAATACCAAATACAGAATATTATAAACACAGCTTATTCACAATTACAAACATCAATTTTTTTCAATCTTAACTAATTCCTAGCTGCAACACATCATATTTGAGCTAAAAAGTTGAGTTTTGGGGAAGAAGGATTTTACTGCAGTTTTCAATATTCTATGAGCTCAGACATTTCAACGGCTTGTTGTAAAATTGTTTTTTGCTGCCGCCTGATTCAAGAAAAAAGACAGTTTATTTTTGATTGAAGGCAGTGAAAAACCAAATTTCAGCATACAGCTCACAGCTACTGAGGTTACAGAACATGAAATCAACTAATGACTTTGATTTTATTAAGTTTTGTCTCACTGGTATATCAAGATCTAACTTTTTACAATTTATGAAAGAGCATAATCTCTTGACTCTGATTGGCTGAGAGCTATGATCAATAAGAGGACAGACACATAGAATCAAATCACTCATGCACTGAGCCAGCTTGCACTAGAAACCATTTTTCTTTTAAACTTTTTCAATGCTTTTTGTTGTTTTGTTTTGTTTGCTTTTTTTTTTTTTTGATTTTTGACTTTGCTTTCGTAAAAAAAAAATTGTTGCATTTATATGGTGATTCCACTTTTGAACATTTAAAGACATCATCTAATAAGATCAATAAGGGCAGATCCTGGGAAAGGTAGTCTCCCCCACAGCCGCTTTCAGTGTCGTCACGCAACGCTTTCTCCCCTGARTAGCGGCTGCTTACCCAAGAACAACATTCCTTTCCTATGAATTAACCAATCACGGCTTAGTTATCGAAAATCAGGAACCATTCGCGCCATATGGAAAACAACTGGATGCGTCGTTAGAGGAATTCTTCGAGATAGCAGCTAAGAAATTTCGCATCAAACAGTTTAATGATCATCAGAAAGACACTATACGAAAGATTTTACAAGAAAAACAAAATTTCTTTGAAAATCTGCCTACTGGATATGGGAAATCGCTCAAAGGAATAAAATATTAGGCGTTCTTGAGCATAGCCCAGTAATTTCTTTCGAGACAATCTCGAGGACTTTTTGAATAACAGGAGTTCGAAGTTCTTGACATTTCATATAAACTGCTACCACAAGGTTGGCCATAAGATAACGCTCTAGCTAACGATTCGTGTTCACTTTTCAYGACTTTTCTAACAGTGTGAACAAAACAAAACAAAACAACTTTCCTAACAGTATCAAATTTGAGCTAATCCTCGCAGTATACGCGAAGTAAATACCAGAACTGTGAGCGTTACCCAGAAGTTTACATGAATACTCGTGGAAGTCAACGGTGTGACAGTGTCAGATTTAAAAGTTATCTAGCCTTTTTGTGATTTTCTTTAGCTTTACACTGCATTCGTTGTTTAATTAAAATAAGTGATCTGCACAGCTCATCTTCTTCGTTTATCAAAAATACTGTCCGACTTTATATTCAAATTCAATCTCTTAAATCTTGAGTCGTCTTGTTTAAATTATGCTTTTAAAAAAAGTTTTCCAGTTTCTTTTTGCTTCTAATACTTTGGTAYGAGCTCGATAGCAAGTACAAACTCGAATTCATTATCAGCCGATAAAACAATGTCAATAGCTAAACTTATAAAAATATAAATCTTTTCTTTCTTTATGAACAAAGAAAACACTTACTGTAGTTCCATCTCCAATAAGCGCATTAAACATTTAACAAGAACGAATTCAATTTTAATTTACAAAAGATTTTCTCTCATGAATGCTTACAAGTTGTCAAATTCGAAACGTTTTGATTGGTTCTTGAAACACAATGACACTTATCTGATTGGTTGAACACAAACAATAGGAAAGGAATGTTGTTCTCGGGTAAGCAGCCGCTACTCAGGGGAGAAAGCGTTGCGTGACAACACTGAAAGGGGCTGTGGGGGAGAATAGGGAAAGGGGACTTGACCAAATTTTGTGGATTAATATACTACAGAACTTGGAAAAAATATTTAAAAATTAGCTTTCCACCTCTAGGGGAGGGGGGCACCAGTCCCTTTACGCCTTCATGGACCCACCCTTGAAGAGGACAGTCAATTTAAATCTATGAGTGATTTGTTAAATATAAAGTATGCACATGCACCATACCATACCTTTAAAGTGCTTGACTCTGAAATTTTTGTCTTTCTGGATTTGTTGCATTCTTTCAGTGTAGTCATGTTTTGTACAGAGGTGCAGTAAGTGGTTATTGTCTGCTTCCTGGAAAGCAAGCATATGAAATATAACCCACTCCTTCCCTGTCCTTTGCTACAACCATGAAATTTCAACTTGCATAATCTCTTGTCTCCTAAACATACCTTAATGAAAACAGACACAGTAAACTTGTTGGAACATCGCAAGCTCTTCACACACTTCTCAATATCAGGTTYCATTGCTTCCAGTTGTAGTTTGAGTCTCTTTGATGACTGAAAGTACTCGTCCCAAGATAAATCTTTTAGTTTCTAAAAGTAAAGTTATTCCTGATGATTGATCTTTTAGAAGATTTAATCCCAATTTTTCATGTTGGGGTTTTAGGTGTAACCATGTATGTCTGGTATTGAATAACCAAAGGTGTTTTCCAGCAGGACTTACTAAAAGCCACCCAAACAAATTTTAAATCATATTCACAAATCTCATTTTTGATGCCAAACACAATATTTAATTCCCAACCCACTCACTCAGGGTGTGTGTGTGTGAGGGGGGGGGGTGGGGTGGGGGGTGGTGGCGTACCAATCCCAGCTACTCTTGAGTGCCATGCAAATAAAGGATCGTTTTCCCAATGGAATACAGCATCTCCGACCAACAATTTGAACCTGTAAGATTTCTTTAGTTAGTAGTTATTGATTGTTTTCAGTAATCAGTTACTTCAATCAATATTACTTCATACTGCACTACAGAGCTCTCTCTCTCTCTACAGTTAGCTCGTGTGTATTTTTAAAAAAACACTCATCAGTCTCTAACCCCTCCATAACCATTATATTAATCCTATGTCAAGCTCAATGCACTGTCCATCATAAGAGTAATACAATAATATGTACTTATCAATGAATCCTTTAAATTAAATATAACTATATTTACCTCATTTATTCTGCACTGCTTTAGGTCCTCTGATGCATCATCACTGCCTCTTCCAACACGTACAAGCTTGTCTCGGAAATCAGGGATTTTTTCTGCACAGGTCTGCAGGAAGTTATCAAGTGCATGGTTTTTATATGTCACGACCTAAAATAGTAAAAGCAACAGGTAAGCATATTGATTTTCATTGTTATTCACTCGTTAATTATGACACACCAGACTGATGAAGTACTCAAGGAGGGGTAACTTCCTATATAGTTAAGCAGTGGTGGAGCGAGGGATGAGTATATGCAGAACAGATTTAGTTTTATTATGTCAAGTCATCATCAACCTACCAGTATAGGACCATTAGTCTTTGGTACCTCCATGGACAGCAGCAGTTGAAGAAGTGCTTCACCAACATAAGATTTACCAGTGCCTGGCGGTCCCTAAATTTAAGATCTCAGGTCAATTTACAGTATGTTGATAACTTTAATTTAATTTTTTTAAACATTTAAAACAATGTTTTCTCTTTTTATTATTGAGACAAACGACAATGTGCAAAGACCACACCCATCCAGGTGACAGATGTCATATAGGACCTGGCCCGTACTGCTCGGAACGAGTTACATGATTGGATTAAAAAACAATAGATTGGTCATCCAAACAATAGCACTAAACCTAACCTTACAAATTAAAGCGGTACTGTACTTAGAAAGCAATTAATGAAAATCCAGCTTTCAAGTGGTACTGGATTACTCTCACATAGGAGTGTTGCCCAGATTATAACAAATTAAAAACAAAGCTAGATATATATGTATAATAATATATCACAGCCACAGGTCCCCAACCAACACAAGCTGGATAATTTACCAGATTATTTTGTAATAGATGATGATTGTGCACTTTTACTGTACTAAACAAACCTGGATAAGAGTCACTTTATTGCGCAGAGCTTGTTCTACTGCATCTAACTGCTTTTCATCTAATTTTGGTTTACTCTGATCTTTATTTTCTCTCAGCTTTGTAAATTCCTTCATGAGTAACTCATAGCTGTAATCATCACCATCATGGGGTTCAATACACCCTGGGTCTGTGAAAATGATGCTCCAATCAGGAGGCTTCTTTAGATTCTTGAGATACTCTGGTGGATCAGTACACCTCTGTACTTGAACAAGCTGCTCTTTAAATGGCACAGTTTCTATAAGCAGTATATTCAATTAAATATTAATAACTATATAAACTAATTATGATTTTGAGACAACAAAAATCGAAATTAGTTTGTTTTGTATCGTGATTCTAAATAATTTAAGACATAAAAAAGGAAAAAACTGACCGACTTTTGGTGATTAAAAGTGAAAATCTCCTTACGAGCGCGCACTATGGCGTAAACAACAAGCGTAAAAATTTGCTGCGAGCGCGCTCAAGCTTTCCTTTTAGCCAATCAGAAACCTTAATTTCGAAACGACAATACCACAAAATATCGTCTTCTCAAAAATACAAGAAACTATTTAGTGAATCACGATATGATAAATTGCTTTGTAAAAGACAGTTTACTTTATGAGTGGTTAGCATATTTGTCATCTTGACGGCTATCCAAAATTCCTTCAATCTAGTGGGTGATGTCAAGAATTAGGTGCTGTCACCAGGAAATTAGCCAACCTCTTTAGATTTGATATTATTTAACAGTCTTAAACTGCAGTAGGGCACCCAATTATCCATAATGACGACTCTGGATCCACCCTTGAATCAATTGCTGTAGGCTAATATGTTTTATATTTCCCCGCAGTAATTTTGATCGAGCGAGATAACTGGCTAAAAATAATCATCTGCTCATGCTTTAATTACAATGCAATAAACAGTACATGATAGTTGACTGCTCAGGTACCAATATTGCACAATGTTGCACTTGTAAACATTATAGCTYGCTTCCCTTTCACTTGGTATGTTTTAAAGATTGCAAAAACAACCAAAGCAAAATTAAGAAAACAGAAAAATAATTTGAAAGACAAAATAATTATTAAACTCAGTTATCGCAAAATATCATAATTTRTTATACAGTACTGTTTCAAAAGCAAACCTTTGCCTCTGCCTTCAGCATCAGCAAAAAATGGCTTGTCCACCACACAGTAGCAAATCAAAACATTTTGCTCCACCTCAAATTTATTGCAATGAAACCCTCTTTCCACCTCACCTTTCTGTTGAAGTACTTCCAAGGGTGGACCATAAGCACGATAGTAAGTATTGCTCTCAGCCATGTAAGCTATTCATAAAAGACAAGGGGAACTTTTAAAACCAAAATAAATTATAAGACTAAAAATTAATCCTCAAGGACCAGTATTAAGCATACTACATTGATTTGAAGCTAATAATTACGACTCCAACTTGTCCACGATCCTCTTGGATCATGATTGGCCTATTCCTCTATTATCTGTACTTGTCATTCCATTTTTTTTCTTCTCAATATTCTCTACTCATCATCACAATAATCTTAATTTTACACAGGAATCCCAAAACTAACACAGGGATCCCAACACTACATAAGTTAGATATATGTACCTTTATCCTGCAGCTGTTGTAGCTTAGTAATAACTTCAGCTTCACTCAACTTGTTTCTTTCTGAGCACAGRCTGACCTGAACCTGGTTCCTACAAGGTAATATAGCATGATTAATAAAAAAGAAATGAATGACTTTATTTACACAAGCCAAGTTTGTGCAATATCATAAACCCTCTCATTCCTTCCCTCCCCCTGAATTGCCTGCTCAAAAAATAGCAAAAAAAAGAGAGAGAGGTGATATTATGTGACRTCAAGATGATTTTCTATCAAGACATATTAATGTACCATTTGTTGCATTAAAAGTTGGCTTTGCTGAACAGCACCAGGGTGGCAAAGCAGATGGATGGCAAGATTGCTGTGAGTTTTAAAAGTTGTTCAAAAATCTGCAGCCTGCTGCAATAACATGTCATTAAAAATGTAACCTTGTGCCATGTTACAAGACAAGAAAATCAATATTGGGAATAGCCATTTAAATAAAATGTTATGCTAATACAATTAAACCCATGGGTTTCTAACTTTCGCCAATCAAAAACATAACTAACTCAAACAATTGGATCGATACATGACTGATGGAAGACAAAAACCCAGAAGATTCGAATTATAGTGCTCTTAGTTTTTTTGGGTTGCTTGACTATGATAATGGGTGTAATGCCTTAAGATCACGTACCATTCAAACCTGAAAAAATATGGCAATACATTAAATTATACAAAATTGACACATTGCCTGAGTTAGTCACYATTTAATATCAAATCAGCAGAAAAAAGCTGGTAACTAATGTTAGGTGACCATTGAACGCTCTCCAAATTGTTAAGAGTTAAACAAAATTCAAAAGCGATGGATCATTATTTTGGCACAGACTCGTACCTAGTCRCTTCTCTTGTGTTAAAAATCTCACGCTGTGGTTGATGAGAAGGATTTAGAGAGTTCGCGGTGCATCAAGGGAAAGATTAGTAAGTTAACTTTTTCTCTCTCCTTCCCAAAAGCCATCGTGTGCATTAAAAAGCATGAGTCACGACTGGATACGAGTCTGATTTTGGCAGCACTAATAGTTGAGTGAATTCGAAAGTAATAGTCACGGCATGGCATTGCAAAAAAAACTTACCGTTCCTCTGAGTCTCCACTAATGATTCCCCACACAGGACACTGGAAAGTTCCATCGAATGACAAACACAGAAGATTACCAAACATTAACCAGCTGCTGTTACTACATTAAAAAAAGTTGGTCTGGTCATGAGAAAGGTAGTAGAAGTGTAGAAGAGGGGATGATTGGTTATTATAATGATGATTTTGATGAAGAAGGTGTTGATAGTGTGGCGATTGTGATGACACTGGTGATCATGATAATAGTCAGTGGTGATGGTCAATTGTTAATGGGAAAAAAGATGATAATGGTGATGGTGAATTGTTAATGATTATGATCACCATGTAACAACAAGTGATGACAGTGGGGATGATGATGATAATGGTGATGGTGGAGATGATGATGATGATTACATTTCATGATAACAGTCTGAGTACACTTACTCTGGATCATTAGATTCATCAGTTTTCTCATTTTTGGATAATTCAAATACAAGAGCTAATCCTTCTTGTATTGATTGCTTGATGTTGGGAAGAGCTTTAAGAAGACATACCCTGCAAGTAATTAAAAAAATATTATATAAATATATGTGATTATCGCAAAGCATACAAACAGAAAATATGATAGAAATTGTGAAGCTTTTGAAATATTAACTATTGTTGTGTCCTTATCAATCTTCATTTCATCATCATCATCTTTTCCATCATCATCTTCATCATCACTACCACCACCATCATCATCATCACCACCATCACCATTATATCATAATAATCATCATTACCATCATCTTCATCATCATCACCACCATCACCATATCATGATAATCATCATCCTCATTGCCATCATCACCACCACCAACATTATTATCCTCATCGTCGCCACAACCATCGCCATCATCATCAACATATCATCATCATCATAATCACCACCACCACCAACATCATCATCATTGCTGTTGTCACCACTATCACCATCATTAGTAACATATCATACCTGCACATCATGATCATCATTATCATCAAGATCACCACCAACATCATCATTATCACCACCATCATTGTCACCATCATAACCATCGCCACCACCCATCACCATCCCCACCACCATCACCATCATTACTGACAAATCATACCTGTACATCATGATATCTTTAGGATCAAKCTTTCCAGTCGCCAAGAAATGACCGATACCAAACTTTAACTTGTGGAAGCATTCTTCTCTCATCAGAGTATAGTAGGTCATGATGTACTCTTCTTCAGAMTTGTAACTGTACTCTGTCGATGATTCTTTCTTGTCATCAGCTTTAACTTTGACACGTGGAAGGTCTTTCCATTGAGTGTCTGTCAAGACAAATATAATTTGAATTATTCATTCAGAGCTTGGAAATTAATTATGCACTTGTATTTCATTCTGGGATCTTGATTCCTGGACATGCCATATGATATGTTAATGGCAATTTGATAACCTGTCTTTCCCTTGATTCAAAGGCATTTCTCCAGTTTTTCATCCTTACCTAACAAATTACATTCCAATTTGATCAGTGAGTTAGCCATGCACTGACTTTGATCAATAATATTTTAACTATCTAGCTTATTTTAGCCAGAATATCAAATTTTGCCAAGATGCATAAAGTTTGCATTCATGGCRTTGTCCATCCCTACTCCCTGCATGTACATTGATCTCAATAATAACTCCAGTGACATGACAGGGCTTAAAATAACAATGGTCATTCACTGGACAAATTAGTTTTAGCTTGCCCATACCTCGTTTCTCACTCAAAATTACTGGTTAAATTGACTGTTTAAGCAAAGATTTGACCAGACAAGTTCCAATTCTTGCAGGACATGGTCGGATGTGTGAGACAACCTTGTTTCGTAAAAGACCTGTTTGCATCATTTGAGGTTATCATTTCGAGACCCCAGAGGTGAGGCAAGTGCACTATCTCTACGCCGGCACCCTTAATTCCCTAATAATCATTAAATGAATATAACATAACATGCACACAAAAACAAACCTGTGGTGAGTAGTTCACTGGAAACAGGAATGATGGACTGTTGATTCCATTTGAGATGACTTGGATTATCCTTGACCCCAATGACATTCAATGCAAGGATTGATAACAATGTTTCCATAAACTCCATCCCATGGCCAGTACTTTCGATGTTCAACTTTTTTACAATTTCAATTGCTCTAACTCCACATTCTGGAAGATGTTTCAGTAGATTCTCAAGGAAGTTTTTAACCAGTTGCACATTTTCTCGTTGCCAAGTCTCATCTTTCACTAGTTTAGGTAATACATCAATAAAGAACTTGCTTCCCTTAAAACTGGTCCAAATGTTCCTGATTGTTCCTGCCATTGGAGATTTGTAGCTGATATCACTGACTTTTTGACACACTTCCAATATTTTCTTACACATTTCACCCTGTTCTTCTTCTTCTTTAACAGATACATTCAAGACATACTCCCAAACAGCCANGACTTTTTGACACACTTCCAATATTTTCTTACACATTTCACCCTGTTCTTCTTCTTCTTTAACAGATACATTCAAGACATACTCCCAAACAGCCACTGATCTGAAAATTATAAGAAAAATTTATTAACCTGACACTTATAACTGAAATATATAATGTATTAACCATTAACTATTAGGCCAAACAAAAAAAATTAGTGTGTTTCCTTTTGCACGACTGATCCTAATTTTCATGTCGATTTTTGCCGACCTTAAGGTGGCTGCCTACTTTTGAACGTTCGAATTGAGCCCACGATGAGCGCGCACTCAAAAACCGCTGAAAAATCTACAAGATTTTATTGAAGAACCATACGCGTTTTGAGCTTCAACAGGGCAAAACCCTCACATTTTGCACGGGACTCTCTTTTTTTTAATAGCTCATTCGAAAAAACTCCTAAAAATCTAGGTTATATCAACATTTTAGAAAAAGTTTAAATCAGTAACACATGAAAAAATAGATTTTTGTAGGGATTTTTGTTCGACTGTATGAGATTTTTTAAGAGCACCGAAACTACAAAATATGACAAATCAATGTATCTCTTTGTCTTTTTGTCGAAAATATCAACGTATTATTGTAGAAGGATTGACTAGCCTTCATTCGTGCAATCATAGAGTCTGCAAATAACTATTATCTTATGAATCTTAATTTTTTTTCTAATCACTTCCGGTGGCGCAATTTTACTCCAAAAGCTCGTGCGTAGGCTTCCATTAAATGCTGATTATCTCAAAAACGAGCTCGGGACACCCTATTTTTCTTTCCAGATTTGGAATCAGCATTAAATTTCAATTCGGAAAATCGAAGTTTTAAAAAAAGCTTAAATCAATTTCCAAAAGTAGGCAGTCACCTTAATATCTTTTTCATTCCCAAATGCACCACAGGGTTCCCAGTAAGCTCATTTCCACTGTTGTATCATTAAAAAAAGTTTTAACCTACCGACCCCAATTATTTTTCTCATGCAACAGGAAACACACTTATTTTTTTGTTTGGCCTTAATTCATTAGGTGTCTATTAACTATGTCTGCAAAATAAGTGTCAGTAGAGTGTTGGTATAGTATCAGTAAGATGTCAG